TTATAAAAATATCGCGTTACGACAAAGATGCAGTAAAAGTATTTATATATTTGTAATATATGTAAAACATCATATCTATAATAATTTTATATACTATTTATATTTTTTCTGTAAATATTTATATTTTCGTAATATATGTACATTTTTATACACACGGGACGGAGTATTTAATTTTTACAAGGATTCAGCAAAAAGATGCGTTCTTTATGTACATGGGACGGAATGTTTAATTTTTATTAAACAAACGCGTTTTTTCACTTAATTATCGGGTTATTTAAAATTTATTTGCCGATGATGTCCATCTTATTTCGATCGTTTCAAAATATTCATAGGAACAGAAGACGAATGCAATCGTCGTTGCGGTTGAACGGTTCTGTCGTGTATGTACGTCGTGATCAAAGTCAATTCACAGCGGGAACGACGGATATAATCGGCGCAAACATGGAAATGGCGGAATGACGATGAACTATAACGCTCGAGGGTTTAACATCGTGACGAGCAATATTTTGAAGATTTTTCAGAAGCACGGAAAACACACGCGTTTAGCAGTGTTTAAAATCAAGTAAAAAGACAATTTCCATTACGCTGGGTTGATTGATAATTGAATTTCAAAATTACTTTTCCTCCGCGTGAAATAACATGTTTCAACTTACGTTCATCTTCTATAGCGTTTTGTTATACGGCTGAAGTTGTTTTTGCAAAAAAGACACTATGAGCGTTAATATAGTAAATATTATATCCTTTAACAAAATGGCGACAGTAATCTACTCTGAAGCATATCTTACATTATGCGTGTCAAATATAACGACACACGATAGCCAGAATTTGTCACACGGTGTTAACTCACTATTACTCAAACTAGATAGATTTTTTTTAATCATTCTCAACGTCGTTGCAGAAGTATTTGTTGCAGATATTTCTTAATATTTTATTCATGTTTTTTTTTTTAATAATTCTGTTCTATCATCTGCTTGGAATTTTGATCTTAATTTGTCTTGTTCGTGTATCAATCGTTGTTATTGAAATAATTAAAAGCATGATCATTTGTTTTCCTTTGGCTAATTATTGTGTTATTTCGGTTTTTTTTTTTTAATTAGTATGTTATTATTTGTAAAAATCACTGTCGATACCAACACTGTGCTATAGTTGCTGCATTCTTTGTATTTTTTTTTTTTGTTTTGTTTAATAACTTTATTATAAATTCAATTATATATACTTAATTATAACTTTATGGTAATTTCTTGTTGCCGTTTTACTGTAATTCTATTTATATCCTCACAACAATAGAGTTACTTATCCGGTCGATGAAAACAGAAATAATGAAATAAGCAATTTCATTTCCCAAAAGTCTACCATATCTTCCTTCCAGTCTTTTAACTTTCTTTTCTATCCTCCGCCATTATACATTATTTCCATCCGATATTTTGTTTTTTCCATAGTAAACGTCGAAGATTTAGCTTTCAAACGAAAGTGGATATTTAGCGGAAATATATCGCACGGTTATTGATGCGGATCGAACCGGAAGTTCCCCTCTAGTTCTGCGTAATATTGCAATATTCCCCGAGACAGCTTCTATTATTATATCCCGGTAGTAATTGCTGGGAAGCATTACCTTTTATTTTGGTACAGCTTTTAAGCCCTGAAAGGTTTTTAAAGCGTAGGCAAACGAGACAGGGAAAGACTTTCTCGGTAATCCAATGGGTAAGTAGGGGTTGCAGAAGTTGTTCCCTTCAATCGACATGGAAGGTTATTTGCAACGTTGTTTCATCATAATGGTTCCTTTGTTACAGCGAAATTAGTTGAATGGGATTTAATGAAGTGAACCGATGTGCAGATCCCGGTTTCACGGTATTTTGCAATTAAGTATTCCGTATGCGGTTCGCTCGATGTTCCTCTTTTCATTATAAATTTCACGTTAACATTTCATTGGTAATTTGCCCTTTGACGTCCACGGTAGCGATTCACTTTCCAAAATTCTGTTACGTATTAGCCGCAGAAAGTTTGCATTTTACGCTGATTTTGAAATTAATATTCTCGAGCCCGTTGAAAAATTTATATATTTAAAATTGTATTTTACATTGTCTCTGAACATTGTTTTCTTGCTATTGTGCCTATTTATTTTATTGTATATTATCTGGTTAGATATGTTTCAAAAAACACATTAAGTAGAATCTAGGAAACGCGTATTAATCCTTAAGTTGTATCGTGAAGTGACGCGCGATTTTAGTAATTTGTCTTACATTATGAAAAGTTAAGTTATTTAATTTTATTTTGTATTTTTTTTTTTTTGATAGAGATTAGTAATAAAATTAAATCAAATTATTTTTATCTTTGAATATTCAGTGATATTAGTTAAGAATTAAGCTAATCCTTGGAATTTCTTTTCATCATTGTCTAATATTGAAAAATAATTTAAATGTTGTCTTGACGCAACGTTGTCCTACAGTATGATTCTACTTATTTACTTATTATTATCTCCTAGCCTAATCTTACCCAAAGACTTTGAATATTCTCGTGCATATACTGAAAATCAGGCTTAACGAGTAATCGATGCATTAAATCTGTTAGGTGATATTCTGTCTTGACAAATTACCGAAAGATCATTCTCGTTTTATGAGAACACATTACCCGACGTAAATAATTTGATCAGAATTTTTGTTCGACGCTGATGATCCTTACTTAGAGGATCAAAGGGGGGAAAAACGATTAAGCTTAATCGTGAGATATGGAGAAGATTAATAAGTTATAGTGCGCCAACAGGGAGTTGTTTTATATGGATTAAAGTCAAGGGATAAAGTTCTTCTATGACATGTGTTATATTTAATTAATCTTCTCCGGAATATTTTGGTTTTTTTCCAATCTAAAAGCAATCGAGAATATAAATTAAATTTAATTTAATTTTATCGATACATTTGTTATTTTAACCTGTTTTAGAAAGATGGTACGTTGGATATGTTACGGTTAGAGAAGTCGATGTTACAGAAGTTAACGCCTATCATCATCTTTTACATGGTGTAATCACACGACTAAGAATCGAGAAAGGGGATCCAGTAGACTGTGCATATCCGCTACAAGACACAATAAAAAAAAAAAAAGAAAAACACGTTTCCCAGATAAAAAATATCAATGACCTGGAAAGAACAGAGAAAACATGGTCTGACAAAAAAGATTCAGGGTATTCATTCGTTGAAGCCATTCAAATTGTGTTGCAAATATTTTTCATGTCATGGAAAATGAAGGAAATATTAAAGGTGGCCTTTTTTAGTTGAGACATACCTGTATAATACATACCAAGTAAATCACAGTATTTTGAATGTTTAATAGCAATATATAAATTTTCAGAGTAATAAATCGTGACAAAAATTATTTTTTAGTAATTTTACTAATTGTTCATCTCAGAATTAGTTCATTGCTAGTCTTTATAAATATTCTATGTTTATTGTGTACATTTATTAATGTATCAAGGCTAAAAGTATAACACTTGTAATTTCTATATACATTGTCGAATTAGTTCCAAGTCTGTGCAAGAAATATATTGCATAAAACATCCAACACGTGCACAAATATCCAATATACGCACGTGATCCAATATTGACTACTAAATAATTCAATACTCGTACGTGGAAGTTAGTTTTTGTTCGAGATACTTTCATCAGGCAATGTACGTACATGCAAAACTTTCTCCGCGCGAGAAAATCGGTAGGCGAGAAAATTTGGAAAAAATGGTTTTTAGAGGCAGGTCGGTCGGCAAAGAGGTCGCAAATTAATTACAGCGTTGCTTCTAGTTGGCTAAATAAAAAGCTAAGCGAATTTCATGGGACGGCGAGCCCACGGTTGTTTTATTATTTCCCTCTTTCGCCTACGTTCTCGCGTAAGTTCTTAAGTTCGTTGAGAGAAACATGCGCGGCGAACATGCCGTGAAAATATTTCTCCTTCAATTTTCCTTAACCTGTCGGCTATAAGTAATGCTGCCGAGGTATATATGTATTCGTGTGCATGTGTACATACACGTGTGTGTGTGTGTGTGTGTGTGTGTGTGTGT